CGGTTAACGAGCGTCGACTCTCGGACTCCACAGAATTAACGTTCACAATGTCTTAGCACTAACTGAGTTGAAAAATACAGTTTTAGATATGACCGAATTGACCGCCGCGAGAATATGAATGCGATCGTATGGCAAGACAATTTGGACCGAATTTGAGACGAGTAAGCCTACTGCGTACGCGACACGAGCGAGAATAAGACACGAAAGAATATCATACGAGAAATGATGATATTCGAAACTATGATCGATTGCTATCGACCAGCTCGAATCGTTGTCGTATGCAGACTGAATAACGACGGAACACAGTCGCGGTCGACCGATTTCCATAATAGGAGATTTTCGGCATCGAATGTTCGAGAATGTAAGTGTTTGTCACACTTGTTCTTTGTTTTGATCACGCGATCACGCGCTGATCGGCTGATCGCTACGATGCTTATTCTCGCTCGTGTTTTGATTGCGGCTCTTACCGTTCAGATATGTCGGTTGAATTTACAGTTTAAATTCATCGATTAAATTAAACGTTTCAATCTTGAACAATATTGTTGTCAAAAAGATCAAATCTAGCGGCGCAAACGATCGTTTTAAAGATTAACAAGTACGGTCGAAAAATAATATACATATGAAATAATATAAATAATGAAAATGAGATACCAATAAATACAAATAATATAACAATGACTATAAATAAAAAATAAAAATGATAATGTACCATTCGAATAAAATAGGCATAATTAATTGTCGTGTCGATTAAAATAAATAAATTTATAAAGTCGAAGAAATATAAAATTAGTAGTCAATACGTAGTTAAAACAGCGCAAACTATTGTCAAGATGGACGAATACGGTAATATTAGATAAATAAATAGTGTAAATTACAATGTACGAAATAAATTAAAGACGGTCGAGTCGATTAAAATACAAAAAGTATAGGTATGGAGAAGTGTGTACATAATGTCAATATCAAGTAAAAATTATGCTTTGTAAAAAACAAAGATAATAATGTAATTCAAATTTTAGAGAGTTTCTCGAGTACATTCAAATACGTTTCAGGATGACATTCAGTATCTGTCTGCAAATTTAGACTATTTTTTTGCATTTTTATATGTAAAACTTCAGAAATTAATCGTTTATGTAGATGTGGTTCTTTATCTAATATTTCAACATTGTCCCAATTAAAATCGTGGTTATAGGCTAATCTATGATCTGTTATAACGGAGTGGTTGGTCGTGTTTCTCCGGATATGATATCTATGTTCTGAAATTCTAGTATGTAATTGTCTTTTCGTCTATCCCACATAAGACGCATCACAATTATCGTAGTTAATTTTATAGACAACATTATTACAAGTAGATTGTGGACAAAAATCTTTGTGAGCTCTAATGAATTTGTTCGATTTATTAAGACTTCGATATAATAATTTAATGGTAAATATTTAGATTAACGTACCTACCTCCAATAACTTTGACCTTGACATATGTTACCAATTTAACATTTAAGTCTCTAGTGATGTTCTTAAATTGTTCAGAAATTACAGGAACAATACGGTATTGTGAAAAAAGAGATTCTCTCAGACTCATCAATCTGTTTTTTGTTGTCAAAATTAGAGTTTGTCTTATGAAAAAAGGATCTTAAGACGTTCATGTAGGATATTGAAAACGAAATCCAGAGGATAACCATTATCCACAGAATCTCAACCACTAACTTAAAGTTTTTACGTTGGAACGTCGGATGTGATAGTAAAAATGCTCTATCGACTAAGCCTATCGCGGTACCTCTTTTTTGACATAACGGGTGATTGGAAAAGAAATGTAAATATCTCTCAGAAAACGTTGGTTTATGGTATTAGTCAAATATCAGTTGGTTATCGACTAAAATTATGGTGACATCTAAAAATTTGAGTTTATTTTCTTCACCAATCTTCATTGTAAATTGCAAGCGTGGATGGAAGGCGTTAAAAATGTTCAGAGTATGATCGAGAAAAGTGGAAGGGGCTGCTAATGCAATGTCATCTCCGTACCTAACAAAAAATGGAGAGGTGAAAGTCAAAGATTCGAGAGCTCTGGTTTCCAAGTCCTGTAATACTATGTCTGCGATAATAGGTGAAAGAGGAGACCCCATAGGCGTACCGAATGTTTGTTGGTAAATCACTCCATTAAAAGTGAAAAAAGTAGAGTTTAATATTAGTCTAACAGCAGTAATACATTCAAATTTAGATATGATACAATTCGTAGAAATGTAATTCCATCTGGAAGAGACACTCTCGATCGCCATTTCGATGGGAATATTGGTAAATAAGGAAGTGACGTCTAGCGAAATCAAACGGAAATCTTTATTGATGTGTATATCAGAAAGCTTTTTTACCAGTTCAAAGCTGTTATTGATGTGGCTATATGCAGTGAAAAAACTTTTAAGCATTATGCGATGGATAAAAGAAATTAAATTGTATAAAGGACTGTTAAGGGAGGAAACAATGAGACGAAAAGGGCAGTTCGGCTTGTGAATTTTAGGGAGTCCGTATGCTCTTGGTAAAACACCGTCGCTACATAACAAAAATCTATAAGTGGAGGCTGATATGAACTCAGACTCTTTCCATCTCTTCAATAAATCGCGTAGACATGATGTGAGCTTTTTTGTCGGGTCTTTTTTAACGACGTTATATGTTATTGTCAGTCAATAATTCTTTAATTTTCTTGAAGTATATGTCTTTATCCAGAGCGACAGTAATGTTTCCCTTATCCGCACATGTGACAATAAGATTATTGTTTTGTTTAAAAAATTTAGTGGAGTATGAATTAATTGTTTTATATATGTATTGAATTCGCATTTAGGGATCCAGTAATTAGGGAGATTATTAATAATATTAACTGAACGGTTTCTAATTGCCACTTGTGTTGCTGGAGGAAGTTTAATAAGGTTGCTCTCGATATTTTTTATAAACTCTGTGGTTAGTTTGTCATTGTTATTAATAGGAAGACTGAAATTATCGCCCAATTGCAATAAGCTCTGTACATCTTGAGGAACAAAGGTAAAAGAAAGGTTAACAAACCACTTATCATTAATGTGTAAAGAAGGCTGTTTTTTATCATTAAACATATGTGGGTCAATTCCAATCTTAATGTTACGACAAAGTGTGTTTTCTGGAGTGTTGAGTGGTTTAAAGGAAAAACGACATTCTCTAACGTTGTTATGTGGATGAGTCAAGAAACGGTAAAAATAATGTATCGGTTTGATGTCTCCAGTCTTAACTTTATGTTCAGTCAATAAGCGATCAAATTTCTTGTTAAGTTTGTCATGATGGTTAATAAAAAAAGAGTACAATGGTCCTCATTGTCTAGTAAAAAATGAGTTACAGACAGACATCGGAATGTCACGGTATAAAGAACGAGAAAGTTTATAAATCTGGGTATGTGCCGATCTGATACACAAATATGTGTCAAAGAGTTCAATCTGTAGTAATCTTCTGCTAAAGAGCTGTCTACAATGTTTAAAGACATTATTGTAAAAGGCAGATTCTTGACAAAAAAAATTGAACCGAACATTGGACAAATGCAGAGGAACGATGTTAAATCTAATACATTTGCGTAAGAACTCGGTCTTCAATCTATTTTTTATGATAATTTTACTGTATTTTATCCATGATTTAAAACATAGGACAGCGTTTTGTCCAAACACGAAACTAATGTACTGAAAAAAGAAATAAAAACACATTTTTACAGCTTGTAACAAAATTAAATATAAAAGTAAGGCTCTAAAGATAAAAATCAGTTAAGAATAAGATACAATGGCAATGAGAGCCCAGCGCAATAATGACATAAAAGTTTATTACAAACAAAATCTCAATGTAGCATAAAAATTT